GGATCAAATTGCGGGCGTCTTTCTCCACACGTTTCGGTAGAACCACTTTCTTCAGCGAATACCTCTTGGAGTTGATGTCATCCAAAAGCATCTCAAATGGTGTCAATTCGTACTCTTTTTGATTCCTGTTTTCCGCCTCTCGCCGATCGATATGACTGAGAGAGACGCCAACCCTTAACTGTCTCATCACTTTCATCCAGAGGTGAGCCCACACTTCCACGTGAATGTTCTCCACCTCTTCGTTGTCGATGCGATGACTTTTCTTCAGTTCTTGTGTTCCAATCGTAATCTGATTCAAAAATGTCGACATTTCGATGGCTTCGGCGACCAGTGCTCTGCAGACTTGCCGATAGTGTTCACTGATGTCTGTGCTGTCAATCATGCGCTCTCGACATCTGTTCAACAATTCGTCCAATAAGTGATGTAAACTTTTTTCGCAGAAACTATCGTTACAAATGCCCTCGTCGTCCATCTCTTCATCCGTGTCTTCAGTCATTCTCTCAAATGCCTTCTCCAAACTCTGAGAGATAATGATCTCTTCGTCTTCATCGGCGCCGTAATCCAAGGCCTTATAAATAATGGATCCGATGGACGACACAAGAGTGGTTACTGACACGGGTTGTGGTCTTTCTGTTGATATGTCGCGCCACGACTTGACGTCAACTTTGCCATTGTTTTTGATGTATAGTGTGTTTGGCTTAAGGAATGAGTAGTTGTCGTTGGTTTGCATCAGCTCTTCCTTAAGCGCTGCGATGGACTGATGGATGAGAGCCCACGTCTGCTCCTCTTTGGTCCCGCAGTGAAAGGCCCGCAAAATCGCGTCCAACGAAAGACAATTGTCTTCATCTAAGGCACAGATTTCAGGCATTTTCTGAAAAATATGACACAAATTAATGAATCTATGAATCAATGATTAAAAATATATAGTTATTGACAAAAATAGGCATAAATTTTGGCAAATCATGGGATGAATAGATAGTTATCACGAGTTGAGAGCAACAGAAATAGCGAATGAGATTATAATATAGCAGTTAATCCTTAGCCCAGATGTTTGTGGATTGCATTCAAAGGTAAAGTCAAAGTTTTAGTCCCAAAAAAATCCTTAATCCCAGAGAAAGTTCAGAAACTTTTTCGTCAGGTTTTTGAGCGCTCTTTGCATTCAAACTGGAGTTGACGTCAAAATTGTCAGTTAAAATCGGTTTAAACTCACTCTTGACTACAAATGTATTAAATGATAAGCCGTTTGATAACTCGTTGTCCATAACATGGAAATGGCATTCAAATCCGTTTCATCGGAATGTATGCGACAGTTAAATAACTAACACTTATTTATTATAACAATTATTTTTATGGCACTGTATTATACTGTGAGGCAAAAACACATCATATATCATGTATATTCATACCATACCTGGCATTCATTCGTTACCAATTAGTTTAAACGGCTTTTTTCTGTCGCTCACAATAGTTGCCACACTTTTGTTGCAATAATAAATAGTTGTTTATTCCGTTCACACAATATATGTCTCCTAATTAATGGATATTTAAGAATAGATTAGAAGATATGTATTATAATCACAAGAATTGATTGTTTTCTTTAAAAACAAAATACAATTTTAAAGGAAAAATACATTGATATCAATGAAGACAATGTGTGATCGAAAAGACACTGAAATATAATATAATATTTGATAACAAGTTTTTTTTATGACTCATTAAACAAATGCAGTAATGAATGGGAAATATGAAAAATACGAGTCATTCCTCGATATTATAGCCATTCAATTGTATTCACAATTTGGGTTTCTGTTAAGACTTTTAGTGACTTAACACTGAATTTCTTCAACTAATTGACTCGTTATAAGTGTTTTATTGAATGGAAAAATTGTGATTATTTATCATAAATCAATTTCTATGCATATATTCCTACCATTAGTACGACTTTTATATTAAATAACTTATAATATATTATCGATGAATCATTAAATTCAAAATACTTTTGCGGATAAAACTTCAAATAGTATTAAAACAAATGCTGTTTAATGTGTTTCTTATATCACTGAAATGGTGACGAAATAGTGATTATATAAGACTTATTGTAGTTTTCACACCAAATGTTGGATATCATCGATGTATTGAAATTATCAATAAATTCATGAAATTCTTCACATAAGACATACAATGGTATAAAAATACCAAATTGTGTACTAAATTAGGTATTTGACAACTCACTGATAGTATTAGCATTTGATGGACTCGTATATCATATATTATATAACAATTTCATTACAATAACACCGATTCGTTTAATACTCTAATAATAAATTGAGTGTTTTATCAAAATATTTTAGACAATTATATCACAAAAATATTAAATATTTTTTTATGTGTTAAAAATTTCAATGTTTTTATTAACACATCTGTTGTCGACAACTATTCAACACTGAATTTCACAGTAAATGAATACATAATTTATATTCTTAGAAAATACTAACAATTTTCGGGCAAAACAGTAGTCGACCACTTGTTTTCATATAATCATGTAAATTGCCGTAAAATAAGTCCACAAACAATAATAAAACACTAATTCAACGCTAATATTGTTGCCGAAAGTCGCAACTCTCTGGAAAAGCCATAAACAAAGCTAATGATAAACTCATTATAAAGTTATGTTTTTATTTCATTAACTCGTGTGTTATCTCATCTCATAAAAGGCATTGATATTATCAGTAAACAAATGGTTGGTAGCATTGAAAAGGGTTCACAAAAAATATTTTTATTGTGGCAATGGATTAATTAGATTTGCATGAAATGTATCGTAAATTGCCTGATAATCACTTTTGGATGTCCTGTTGTCCTCTCTCTGTGCCCTCTTTTTATATATTTTTTGTGCATATGTTTGACAAACCTTTTCCTGTTATACATGCGATAATATCTGTACAAATAGCTGATAAAAACTTATCTTAATTCTCTACGTTTGCCGACTTTATAGACAATCAAAAAATATATAATGAACTAAAAAAGTGTAGACGAAATGGCAATGAAAATGCATTCACTTTTGCTAATTCTCTCGTATAAACTCTTTTTCATTGGTTTGAATGATTTATTTATTATTAATTTAATTAAAAGCTAAACAAATAAAATACCAGAATCTGTGTATAGGTATCACATATAATATGATATTATTAATATCAAATGTTATCGCATTTATATACACAGGTATTGTAATTAAATATAGGTTTTTTATAACTATCTTATATTTCATTAAATACCGGTTATTATAAAGTATTTATTTTAATATAAAACACTTGTATTAATGATATCGAAAGCCTTGAATATAATAGTAAACACATCTAGTTTTGACAAGTTTTCAATTTTATTTAATTCTTATTTGCAATTGATTTATGATTTATTTACACATGAATTGATCAGAAAATATATAAATACAATATTAAATATGATTATATTTACACTACAATTAGAAAAAAGCACTAAATCTTTACTGAGATTTCGTTTTTTGATTTTTATGCGAAATCTTTGCCACACAATAGGGAATGACAGCCACGAAGACATAGGGAAGTATTGCGCTCAAGAGGAATGCCAACGCATAGCATAAATTGACATTATCTTTAGGCATCGGAACAAATTCAGTGGCTTTTGCGAAACCGACCGACAGAACTGCGGTCACGATCTTCATGGTTGTCGTGAATCGCTCTTTGTTTGCGATTCTGTGAAGATTTGAATGCAATGCCAAACCCATGCCGAGGAAGAAACCCGTGTATCTCATCATCGAGAAGAAGGGCGTGGTATCCAAGTGGACGTGTTCTCGTTTGGCGCACCACTTGAGCGCCCTCTCCACCGACCACATCGGGTTGAAGCCCATCATCTTCAGCATCGCATACGTGGACAGCGCCGACACGAATAGGCCGACGGTTCCCAAGATATACTGCTTTCGGCTAAAGCTATCGGTGTCGAGATGGCTGACGAGCATCGCTACGGCCACCCCTATGACCATTCCGAGGGCGCACTGATGCGGGAAATGTGCGGCCAAATAGATACGGGACAAACTTACACAGCATAGGACTATGGTATAAGTGGCCCAACAAATGCGGTTAACGATCGATCGTTTGGTTAAAGTGCCGTTTTGGCGGAGGAAAGCCTCGATGAGTATATACCAAACAGCGGCCGTTACCATCGCGTGTCCCGATGGAGAGCCCGGACCCGTTTCGCAGGTCATAAAGTATTGCTGTATCGCCGGTAGTCTGACTTCGCCGCCGGTCTTGTTATAGACATCGGTCTCGTGTATCCACCAGTACGGCCTCTCGCCTCTCATAATCCATTTGAGCACCTGATTAGACCACTCGGCCATAACTGTGACCCACATTAGCTTTCGTCCCGCGAAGCGATTCAATGAGAATACAAGCGGACTGTAGAACAGGAAGGCATAGCGCGGGTCAAAGAGGTTGGACAGCAAAAACATTATGCTTTTTTGCTGATGAAAACTGTGATACAAAATAGAAAGTAATTAGTATTGGTTTTAATATAAAATTAATTAGAATATAAGTAAATATCAATTGAAATGAATGAATACCTGCTCTGAATCATAGAAATAGCAGAAATACTATTCTCGTGAAGTAAATCCATTTTACTTATAAATTATAATAATTATAAAATCAAACAATTATTATAACTAAAAAATTCTGTTCAAGAATTGAAAGTTTTTCAAGAGTTTTGAAAGTGTTTTGAAGAGTTGTTGAATGAATTATCTAAACGCTGGGCCAGTGATGAGCTTATATAGCGGGGACTCTCCTAAAGAATCTGTAATCACATGCAACTGACGTAACAGTGATCTGATATGAGATCCAAAGTTTATATTAAAACTTGTTATGTTGTGTTTAAAAATTGTTTTTCAACATTTCTCGTGTGATCAGCACGTCTTCAGCGGCTGATCTCAAGGAGACGACTGGTTAGAAACGGATTCCCCAAACAATACCATTGGATAATAAACGCGATAACATCTACTCCTTTACGTAATCCTCAAGGACTCCATCCCTAAACACTTGAGCCTAAATGTCATACATGTATACATCAACTCATCTATACTGTACTCAATGCAAAACAACTCAATGCAAAATCTCGAAACACCAAAACCTTTCTGGAAAAACAATATTATACCATATTATATAACACATGGTAAACACGAGTTAACTGAATGTGCAGTGAATGCACAGAAAAATACTGCATGCTGATGAATTGTGATGAATTAATAGTAAACTAAAAACTAACCACATTTATGCATTAATCATGCAGTCATACTTCTATTGTCATTCGTGGAAAAGTCCAGGGTCCAATTCTGAGTATATTATAATTTTGCGTTCAATTCTGATGGGTATTAGTTATGCAATTAGTATTTGTTTCGAAATAGCCTTTGAGTTTGTTTTTTATTAAGATAATTGTCAGTCAATGCAGTGATTGGTGTCATATTTGACACAAACATCTCGACTATTATCTTAACTTTTAAGCACTTGCTGGTCGAGTGTCTCTTATCAGTGTTTATCGGTATTTATTAATTAATATCACACATTATATGAAGTCATTTATCCATCGATTAATGATATTTAGGAACCGAAGAGTCGCTCCAAATTCTAACATATATTTATTTAAATTGAGAAAAAACACATTTTACACAAAGGATTGCATAGAAGTGTTTTTTGGCAGTTATGATACATAGGATAGGATCAACACGTTATGGCAACAAAATCACGTTTCTGGTGGACCACTGTTCACGTGAACCAAATTAATAGGTGCTGTGGAGGGCATGTGAGCGCCGACTGATATTTAATGTGCCATTAAGTTTGGGCTAAAGATTTATTGTTTATTTTTTTGTACTCAATCTTAACGACCACTTTATAAGTCAATCATTTTGGGAAATAATTACAATCTCTAGGTTTAAGGTTTCTCTAAAGTTTAGAGTCTGTCTATAAATTTGATGAAAAGCAGAGATTTTTAGATGGGTTTGCATTCAAGGACTGACTGATAACACTCCGGGGTTTCGGATCGACTGGTAATACATATTCAATAGTCTAATTAATTAGTAAAATATAATTTAGATAAAAGGAGAAAGTGTTTTCTGAAAGTGAAAATAAAAAACTTATTCACTCGATGTCTGCCAACAGTTTTACTTATACTTTAAAACCGATTTAAAGTGAAATACATTTCGGAAAATTCCTCGCAAAACAAGTTATTTTTAAAATACAAGAAAAGGTTTTAAAAATAGAGTTCATTACACATAAGGAGAGTATGTATACAACACTGTATTTATATTTATAATTTTTTAACAAACTCTAGCTGTAAGACGACTTCCCAATAGTTTGCACACATAAATAGTTTATATTTATTTGACTTCAATTTTAAACAAATTCTCACAATCATTGCATTGAGAAAAATATTATTTAATGAAAACATAATTATACATAATATTTGCAAACTAATTTGTACGTAAGCATGTTTTTACAATATATTGTTTGCTATAATTATGTATTATTATATGGCTAGAAATTTGATGCATTTATTGACAATTATTGTGAATAAGAATATTTTTTAATTTAATAATTTTAAAATATTTTGTTTTTCATTTATTATATTATATTTCATTGAATGCAAAAGAATATTATTTAGTAAACAAGTCATTTAATTGAATGAATTGATTGTATGTATTGTATGTATTGTTAAACTATTATTGAAAATACAATAAATTTTCCGTCACATGAATTGTCAGCCTTTCCAATGAACCATAAATTAAATGCAAAACTTTTTCAAACATAGAGACAATGGCTTTAAACTAAACAATATTAACAATAGGACAAAATAAAATGATCAGGGCAAACCAACATTGCATTTGCATATGCAAACACTATTGATACACTGTATTTCAATGTGCTATTATGTTGTTAAGCAATACATTTCTCAATAATAAGTTAATAGACTGTTTGACCGATTTTTCTATCACTTCTTTATGTAAAAAAAGTCTAAAATTAGTGTAAATTAAGATAACATGTAATCTAAAAGACGGGGAATTTTGTATTTTGAACCCTCAATGATGTTATCGGGTGTCGAAATGATCTCTACCGGGAGTTAAAGTACAAAAATCAATCAATTATATAAAAAATTAGTTTTTAAATATGATTTCAACTGAAATTAATTACAAACAAAAAACGCATTGTATGTAAAAACCTATAAAATGCGGATTCAGTTTGCATTGATTGTGTCGGTTGTATCGGTTCATCACTGTCTTTGATGAACCTTTTTATTTGAGATAATTGTTTTTGTCTGCAAACGTTATTGCAATTATTTTCTTATTATCCGTTTACGTAAATTCTCTCTAATTATTATTATTTATGACTAAATCATTAGTTTGTTTTTGTAAATGCGAAATATATTAATGCATATTTGGATATGAAATTGATTTGCACTTTAAGAGCATGCAATCCATTCAATAATTAATGATTTTTATAATTTAAATTAAGGGCACATTTGAATTGTACTACAATTGCACTAAAATTTATAATAAAATTATTTATCAAACAATTAATTAAGAATTGCGTAAATTGTTTGTTTAATTGTTGTAATTATTAGTAATAAATTAAACTTTTAAATTTTCTAAAAAGTCCTGTGTTATAATTCAATATTTATGAAAATTAATTAAAAGTATAGCTATTAATTAAAACAATTAAAAATGAGGTCATTTAAAAGCGTTTTGGTTTATATAAGCAAATATACTGTAATTACAACGATATGATATTCATTAAATAAAAATAGATATTTACTAATCGTTAATTAATTACGGTCACATGAACTGTGATTAAATATAAACTAATTTTGATAAGAAAAACGGAATTTTACAATTTAATGGACTAATTGTCTGAATTTATTAATGTTGAAAGTATTGGTTATTAATAATAACTTATTATACGATCAAAATATATTTGCTTATTGTTTAAATATTAAACAATTTATTTCAAAATTAATTGACATACAAAATACTTGAAATTTATTAAAATACAAAATTAAAGTTATAAATACAAATCAAAACTACATTATAATTGTTTTGTCATCAAATCAGATAACAAGTAAATATTTTCACGACTTTTTAAAGTGTTTACTTTTGCAAAAGTAAAACAATTTGTTTATTGAATTTATGATCAAAACCTCAATAAATAAATATTTTATCGGTTTATAAATTCAACAAAAAAGTCTTTTACAAAACAAAAGCATTGATTTAGTAATTGTGAGCCGATTATAGACTAATCAATATTTTTGTTATGGATTGTCTTCACTGATAAACATAAACCAAAAGTCATGATATCTTTAGTTATGAAACGATTGTTTCATATTTATTAACACTTTTAAATGACTTTTGATCAGTACTTGAGTTTATATTTTCTAGTATTTTTTGTTTAAATTGCTTAATAATCATTTACTTTAATTAAATTTAGTTTATGCAAAATGTAAATCTTATTAACTTATGTTAATACAAACGACTCATTCAATTGTTTTGTTTATTATAAGTTTTAATAATAACAAAACTTATGAACAAAATCTAAACAATTTTTAAACATTTCGAAATTGTATATAAAAATGTGTGAAAATATGATCGGATAAAGTGGTGAAAAACAAAACTTGCGAAACAAATATTTATAATAAATGAATTGTCAAAAACAGACTCTTCTATCGTAAATAAGTTATAATTTAATCGATTAAACCGACCATCGGTTCAAAGTCTATGAAATTAAACAAAATATAGTTAAACGGATGGAATCTATCAAAAATTTGTCCGCTTTTTGATTGTCATTAAAATTTTAACCTTAATTTGAGATAAATAATCAAATTATGAATTGAAATGACGTAAATTGACATTTAAAATATATGATTATACATATGATTAAAAATTGTTTTAGAATTGCAATCAAATGACATGATTTGCTCAAAACATTTAGACATTTAATTACTTTAAATTCAATTCAAGTAAACTATAGTGACATTTAATAAACAATTAAAGCTTTTGACCCCAGGGTTGGCAACTAGACCAAAAACTTAGTTATAATTTTATTAATAAAGTAATATTAATATTGTGAGTTAAAAAACACAGTAAGTACAATACCTGTTGATTAGTTAATCCACCAATCAAATTTATCAACTTAATATGTCTATTAAAATATTGATTAAATGTACTACAAATTTGCAGTTAATAAAATTCTTTATTTGATTAAATTGAACAATACTTCACAAATACTTTCTTGCATTTTATTAATAAGTATAAATACTATATAATAATATTAAATAAATAATTTGTAAAACGCTTAAAATATATTAAAATTAGGTAAATTTGTAAACAACTATCAATACTCTTAAAGCATACTTCAAACATACAGTATATTTTGTAGTTTTGTTCCCTTCAAAAATTAGTTATATTAGAATTTACTTAAAATTAATTAAATAAGAGTAAAAATCTATATAACTTTAATACTATTCTAACCATAAGAGAGACACTAAACGTGTTTCCCTTTTGGAGGTGAGAGTGGAAGAGGTGATAGATCTAATAAAACATGTTATATTTGCAATTGTGGACAAAAATCACAAGTAATACATAATTAATAAATTAGTTATAATTACGGTAATAATAATCTCAATCAAGATATTTAAGGACAAGAATTTGAATTAAGACTAGAATTTTAATCGCTCTCTAAGTCTAAATGTATGGGAAGAGCGGCACTCAACTCATGGCCTATTTTGTCACAACAGGCGCCTAATATTCTACGGTTCATGATATCGACGGGCCCTCCCTTT